CTAGAGCAGAGAGTGGAGGTAAGTGCCTTGATGCTCAACTAAGCACAGAGAAAGAGTAAGGATTTACATGCTTCTCATGTAACTGTTGGAGAATTTTGCACAGCTTTAATGTAGCAGAAATTAAGGATTTGCAATATATCTTTATAGAAAATAAGGTTAGTTTATATGATTTTAACAGCACTTAATCAGTATGTGAGCATCAGTCAATTAATACAATGATCTAAAGGAATTTGCTACAACAGAAACAGAAACTTTTAATAAAGACTTATGAGTGGCAAGGTTCACACAAGGCTTATTGGAGGATCTAGGTTTCTAAAAGCAGTAGTGTGCTTCCAAAATACCCTCTTAGAGTGAATTTCTCACCCTTATCCCTTGTCTTCGTTTGCCCATGGACGAGCTTGTTCCTCAAGGAGTCAGCCCTGGGATGCACATCACATCAGGGGTGCCCTGAGAGGTGGCTTTGGCTAAGGGGGTTTGCGTTAAGGGTGTGTGGTATGTGAGTCACGAGGTTCAGAAAGGACCCCCTTGCTTTCTAAACTCCTTCTCAGAGAAGAGCCTAGGTGTGGCTGGATCCAGTCCTAGTCCCAGACTTGGTCAACGGCTTATGTCTAGAGGATTATGAGTATAGCCACTTCATAGAGTCAACGTCTGCCTGTTTCAGAGCGCTGCCAAGGACTTTCACTGTGACAGTTTTGCAAAGTTGAAAATATAGGTAATTTATTAAGGCATCGAATATCACAGATTCAGGGCTGCTGTTAATAAATTCACTTACTGCAATAATTGAGCTCAAGTTAACAGTTCAGTGCTTTAGTTATTAATATTTTCCCAAGTAGTATCCGACAGAGTCGAAGGCAAAGTCTTACCAAGAGGTGTCCCTGCTTGGGAAGGAGAGAGGTCCAGGCCTGTCAACCCATCTGATAATTGGAGTTCTCATCCTCTACATCCTCAAAAAGAGGTTTCTGAATAGCAGATTTATACTTTTGGTGAGGTGGGACTGAGTCATTTACCATGTGACTGGCTCTCAGCAAGGCTCGTTGCATTGTTTGGTCAGGAGGAAAAGGGAGGTGAGACCAGCAGGTTGCTTTCCTGGCTTGACTTGAAACAAGATTAGGCTGTGAGGCTTCCCACTTATTTGTTGTAGTTTCCAGGTCCATTGTTCAATTGCAGATCTCCAACGGTTCTGTACTTTTGCCAGATGAGCAAGACACACATGTTAATCAATCCACATTCCTGTGTGTTAATCAAATCACATTCCTGCTCAAGCCCAGTCTCAGCAATCATCTGCTGATTTACAGTCACTCAATATTTCAACACCACCAAGCCTGGCAGTATTCTACAGGGGGAGATCAGGGGTGCAGCCCGCTGCTGTCCCTTGAGAGCTCAAAAGAATTCTTGCTTGGGATCACTATTTGTAGGATTGCAAAGCCATTGCCTTATGATTAGTATTTTTCCAGGTTTTCAGGTCCTTTTGTTACAGTTTGTTTAGGAATCAGGTTGTACAACCCTCCTTCCCTTAGCCCTTAATCATGTCTTTGTCAATTAGTAACAGGGGTGTGAGGCAGCCCTCTGTAGATAACAAAGGAATGATGTCAGAAAAGGAAAGGCTTTCACTTTCATATTTATTATGTGAAGTGCTTGACCCATAGGCAAGCTCAGTTTTCTTATCAGGCTGTTTCCTGGAATGAGCTCTCCTGGGTTTCCATTGTTCATGAGCTGTCGATGAGGGTTCCAGGCGTGATCCCACTGAGGCCTGCTGTGGCTTACAAGCCTGAGCAAGACTTCAGTGCAGGAGCAGAGCGTACCCACCACAGTGACCCAGTCCAGCAAATGCTTAAGTGAGTCTTCTTTGCTGCGGTCTTTGTTGGAGAACTCAGAGAGGCCCCTGCTGTGCTCTACAGCAGGAGGCAGAACCAGGCCACGATCTCCTGTTTCCTCTGGCCTGGAGATGATCCCTCAGGGTCTTGCTGGGACACATCCCCTCTTTTGGCAGCCCCTGGTACAACTTGTTCAGCTGCAGCCTGACTCCTCGGTCCTGCCAGATGCCTTCGTGTTCCCCACTGCATTAAGCATCCATGAGGCCACACCACCTTCATGGCAAGCCAGCGCTGCTCTGCAAGGCTGGTTGGCAGACCACAGTCCTGCACGTGTGTCCTGTTGAAGGCACTGCAGAGACCAGACGGGTTGGATGTCCCAGGGTAGGGGGTGCAGCCCTTCTCGCAGGGTCCCAGGTACATTTTTCCTGTTCCTCTCTCCTCAAAGCTGCTCTACTAGTTTGTTCTTCTCAGTCCTATCCAGTGGGTGTTAAATAGGTCTTATTTGGCTCTCAAAATATGGCCATGCGTTTCCTTCACCCAGAGCCCTGTTGTGGGGAGATCTTGGCAGACACAACTGGGATTTCTAAGAGGAAACTGAATTCTTCCCCCACAACCTCTGGTCCTTGCCAGGTTTGGTCCCCTGCAGCTGACCTTTTAAAGACTTATCCCTTCAGAGAGAGCAGAGGCAGGAAGGTGCTGCTTTGAGTACCCAGCATCTGCCATGGGAGCAGGTGGCTCCTGACAGTCCTGGAGCACCTCAGTTCGCTGCTGTTAACCTAACCTGTAGTTCCCAACCGAGCTGTAGAGTGGCTCTGTGCAGCTTCCACAGGGCTTGCTGCTCCTTAGCCACTCAGAGCAGATCTCCAAGAGGCCACAGGCCTTTGGGTGTGGAGGAGCAACCTCTAGGCAGAAGTTGACAAGGAAATTCCTCATTCTCAGCATGTTCTCCAGCTTGTGCATCACAGGAGGGAGACTGGGTTAAGCCCCCAACATGGAACAAGCACAGAGAGTGAGATTCTGGTCTAGGATGGGGTCTCCAGGGCCTTGCCTGACTCTCCAGAGTTTATGCTGTTCATCCCACTGATCCTGAGCCTCTTCACTGCTAAACTGATGGGCATGGGGTGGGGACCCTTCTTGCTCATAGGGTCTCGGGTATGTCCGTGTATATCTGTGTCATCTTTTGAGTCTTGTCCCCTCTCTAGGCCTCTGAGGAGAAGATCAGGACAACAGAAACACAGGTGCTGGTGGCCTCTGCCCAAAAGAAGCTCCTTGAAGAGCGGCTGAAGCTCATCTCTGAGCTATGGGATGCTGGAATCAAGGTATGACCAGGCAATGGCCAAGTCAGGAGCTGCCTGATCCACTCTCTTATACCAGGAATGGACCAGACCTGGGTTTGCTGTGGGAGAAAGGAGTCACAGGGAGAACATGGGCAGCAGATTGCCTTCCTGGATTGAGCCTGCTTCTCATCTGTCCCAGATGAGATGTTCTCCAGTGGGGGCTGGGTGGTACAACTCGGTTAGCCCTGTAATACTGCAGGGGATGCTCTGGCTTTGTCTACTCAGGACAGATTCCCAAAGCAGGCAGCGCTTCAGCCTCTGCTGCATGGCAGCTGTGATGCCACTTTGAACAGAAAACAAAAAGTGCAGAGCCTTGCAAGGAAGAGAAAAGTCTGGGTGGAAACATCCCAGAGGCTGAAGACAACCTGTGTCAGGGCCCTGCTCCTGCTGCAGGCAGTCTCCCTTGGCTGGACAGAGGAGAGTGGGTGCTCCACAGGGCTTCTGAGCTGCTAGGGACACCAGAGGTGTCAGCCCTGGTCAGGTGTAGACTGGAGCTGATGGCTTTGTGTTTTCCCAGGAGCAGCACAGTCTTCTGAGTACTGTGGAGCTGTGTTGTGTTACTCATTAGTTGCAGTGCCCTGCCTTCTCCATTAGCCGGTCTGTGCATACATCCACAGCCACCAAATGGCAACTGGCCCAGAATGCCGGGGGCTGTGATGATGGGGTGCAGAGAAACAGGCCCGTGCTGAGTACAGCACTGTGCTCTGGTTCCATTCCAGGCAGAAATACTGTACAAGAAGAACCCCAAGCTCCTGAATCAGCTGCAGTACTGTGAGGAAACGGGCATCCCCCTTGTTGCCATTGTGGGAGAGCAGGAACTCAAGGATGGAGTTGTTAAGCTGCGGGACGTGGCAACCCGTGAGGAGGTGAGTGAGGCTCGTGGTAGCTGGGAGGGGGAGTGATGGCTGCTTACCTTCCCTCCCAGCTCAGGCAAACCTTCCAAACCTGTCTGTACCCTGTCCAGTTGCAGTGCAGAGGGTGCTTGGCGAGGTGGATGAGCAGTGCTTGCTCTCACAGGGCTGCATTCAGCTCTGTGTATGGTGCTGCTGCCTCCTCGCCCCATAAAGGGACTGGTGATATGATGGTGGGATCTCATGAGACAAGAGGGCCACAAATGGGGTGTGGGACCAGAGAAAGGCACCCAGTGACAAGTTGCTTGTGTTGTATTTATGGACCTTTGTGCTTTCCCGTGTAGGTCAATATTCGCAGGGAGAACCTCATTGAGGAGATCAGGATGCGAACAAGTCAGCTTTAAAGCCCGCGTGGACCTGTCTACTTGTTCATTGGATTCTGGCGGACAGATTTCCTCCTCTAAATACCAAGTTGGTCGTCTCCTTCACCAGGCCGGGTGGCAGCAAGTGCAGGGTCAGGGGGAGCCTTTGAAAGCTGTATTTATTCTCGTTTTGTGCGCTCCCTTTCCCAGCGGGAGGAGAGAGGCTACGCTGACTCCTACAAAATGCCCTGGCTCTTCAGTATGTTGCTGGAAAGATGTTTTGCAAATGGCTCTGGCACACCGTGGCCTCCCGTCTGCAGTTGTTACCATGACACGTGGAGCCCCGCGCTGTCAGCAGACCCCAGGCTCTTGGCTGCAGCTTCTTGTGCCCTTCATGTCGAATAAACGTTCAGCCCAGCGTGTGGCTGCAGGGAGCTGACCTTATCCCAAGCCAGCGGTTCCAAGAAACAATAAATACTCTGCCAACCCCCTCCCTTGCCTTCTGTCCCTACTTTCTGCCTCGGGCGGGGATTTGCTCACCTCTGTGGGTGAGAGCTGACTTCCAAAGGCCACGGTGGCAGCTCCTTGAGCTGTGCTGGCCCCAGCGCCACGTGGGGAGGACTGAAGGGGAAGCAGCCACGTGGAGGCCGTGCCTCAAACACTTCCCCTGGCCGCGGGGCGAGCTCTGGCCCGCCTCCTGCCCCGCTGGGGCCATTCAGCTGGTTTTTTATTTGCCACTTGAATGGCTTCACGCCCACCGCAGGGCAGCCTGGGGGGGTCCCGGCAGGACCCTCCCTCCCCAGGGCGGAGCAGCCGCGACCCAATGCTCGTTGTTGGCGGCGCTGGAAGCTTCCAGAGCCGGGCGAGGAAAGGCGATGGAGGAGGAGGTAGGTGCCGTCGGGGGGCTGCACCCCCCCAGGGACCTGGCGGCCGAGCGCCGGGAATCCTCCAGATCCCCTTTACCCGGGGGCGGCCGCCGGGGAGCCCCCGGGGCCGGGCTCGGAGCCGCTGCGGCTGCCGGAGCCCCCGGGGCTGGGAGCCTCGGGGGAGGCTGAGCCCGGCAGCGGCTTCCCCGAGCCTCGGAGCCCCTCGGGGAGCGGCCGGGGTGTGCTGGGACGTGCTGGAAGAGCCGCGGCGGGGCTGGGTGGAAAGGTGGGTGCAGGGGGCAAGGAGGAGCCCCCGGGGCTGGATTCGTGCACGCTGTCGGCAGAGATGTCCCGTTAAGGCCCGCGTCTTCATCCGAAAGTTTTTTTTGGCTTTTGAGAAAGGCAAAAAAACCGCGTGAAGGCAGGGAGGTGCCACCACTTGGTGGCGCACCCAAGGATGCACGAGGGTGGAATGCGACCGAGCTGCTTTATGGTATGAGCTGAGATTACTTTAATCCCACTCAGCGTGTAGTCTTCAGAGGCCCTAATGAGTCTTGGTAGTACTTAATGAGCTAAAACCTGATGTTTCCACGTGGGTCGTGTCCTTAATTCCTCCTTGAAGCTCCAGTGATGCAAGGTTCACCTTGGCTCTTTGCTCCTGCCCTCTTGTAATGCGAGCCAGCTGCTGAGCAGGCACCTGAGCCTCTGTTTTTGAAGCCCTTGCAGGCATCTCTGGAGCGCTGGTGTTCTTGTGCTCTACCAAAATTGCTGGAGCAGTCCTGGACGGCAGACAGGATAGTTGTTTGGATGTGCATCGCCCTTCCCTGAGGGCAGAGCAGTCCAGCATCTGCTCCTCCCCTTCCTGGCTTGCCCTAGGCCTCGTTGCTTTGTGGGGTTCAGATGCCCCCAGCTGGGAGGCTGGAAACTGCCCGGCACTAACATCACCTCCCTCCTCAGGCGTGGGCCGACAGCATCAACCAGGCCAATAAGATGGCCCTGCGCAACTGGGTACGAGAAACCGGCATCGATCTGGTGCAGATCAATGGCCAAAGGCGATACGGCGGCCCCCCGCCAGGTACGTGACGAGCTCTGCATGGCAGTGCCCCGGGCGCGTGGCACATCGGGGCGGCCAAGCGCGTCTCACCCATGTGTTGCTCTGTGCCCGCAGGCTGGGTGGGCAGCCCCCCACCGGCGGGCTCGGAGGTCTTCATCGGGAAGCTGCCGCAGGAGATGTACGAGAACACGCTGATCCCGCTTTTCCAGAGCGTGGGGAAGCTCTACGAGTTCCGCCTCATGATGACCTTCAGCGGCCTCAACCGGGGCTTTGCCTACGCCAAGTACAGCAACTGGCAGGGAGCCAGGGAGGCCATTGCCACCCTCAACAACTTGGAGGTGCAGGAGGGCTACACCATCGTGGTGTGCAAGAGCTTGGAGAAGTGCGAGCTGAGCGTGGACGGCCTGCCCGCCTCGGTGAGCCAGAAGTACCTGGAGGCTGTGGTGCTGAAGGCCACCGAGGGGGTCCTCAGCATCACCCTGCATGCCAGCCCTTACCAGAAGAAGGCCAAGCTCGCCGTGCTGAAATACAGCTCGCACCGGGCTGCTGCCATGGCCAAGAAAACCCTGACAGAAGGTACTGGGAGGCAAGTGGGAGGCTGGGGTGCTGTGGCATGCTGCTTGGCTTTGTCTTTTGGGTGTCTGTAAGCGAGCATAGATCCCAGCACCAGGTTCAGCTGAGGAGTGACTACAGGCTTGAGACATCCCTTGGCTTCTCCTTGTGTCCCCTCTGGGCTGGCCGTCCCCAGCGAGGCTGGTCCCTGGCAGGCCTGGAGGGGCTGCGGTGAAGGCGAGTCGCGTTGTGCACTCTGGTTCAGGGTCAGACCATCATGGGGTCACTGGGACAGATGCTGGGGGGCAGGACGTGGTGGGGGGGCACTGGCTGCACGGTGTGATTGCAGGCTGGAGGCTGCTGTGTGAGCATCTCCTGCAAGCTGCTGTGGGTCTCTCCTAGGGAATGTGAAGCTCTGTGGGGAGAACATGAACGTGGGGTGGCTGAAACCAGAGCTGAAGGAGAAACTGCGGCTGTGTAAGGAGAAGCACGGCAAGCACCTGGGGAGCCCCAAACAACTGCTGATGTCCCTGAAGCTGTGCGACGTGCTGGACTGCCTGAACACCCTGTGCCGTCAGAAGTGCCTGGGGACCCCCCGCTTCTTCACAAAGTGTGTCCAGGTGAAACCCGGTGGGTGGCTGCAGTACTGGTGCCAGCTAGTGATCCCAGCGTGGCCCTTTCCCTTCGGCGGGTTGCTGTGGGTGCAGGAGGATGCGCCAAACACCGGTGGGCATGAGAAGGCAAAAAGTGCAGTGGCGCGGCTGGCTCTTAGGAAGATAGGTGAGTCCTGGCACAGAATTGGTGCCATTTCCCATCTTTCCTGAAGTCCTGGAGGGTTTCCTGGGGCTGAGGGGCTGCTGGACTTCATTCTGCGGGTGGGGGCCCAGGCTGTGAGGGAGAGAACCCTGCAGAGCCTAATGCTGTCTTCTCTCCTGCAGAATGCCTGCTGACATAGGCAGTGTGTTTTGGATGCGGGCAGCTGTTTTGCCCGAACTATGAACCGAACCGGAGCCATCAGACGTCCTGTTGCTGTCTGCAGGAGTGGAGCACGGGCCCGGTGGGGATGTGGTCCTGTTTCAGCTTTGGTTTCAGTTTGTTGGGGTTTATTTTTGAGAGCCAGTGCTGGAAGATGTGGGTGCTGTCGTGGTGCGTGACAGCTGCCCTGTTCCCAGCCGGCACTCGGTTCTGCTCTGTTCTGGGGGAGGTAGGCCTGACCTGCCTGGTTCAGCTTTTTCCTTTTTTTATAAAATCGTTCTGTGTTGCTCTGGTGGAGTAGGGCCCCAGCATAGGTCTTGGGAGAAGTTAGAAGCAGCAGCAGCTGCTCTGAAAGGCTGCCAGCAGTGGGTGTGGGCTGGGGAGGTCTAGGGGACCTCTGGGGGGTGGCCCAGCTGAATGGGGGGACAACGAGTGGCCTCATCTCACCTCCACTTCACGCTGGGTACCCGAGCAGCAGCCTCACTTTGATAAACAGGGGACACCCCGCTGGCTGGGGGGCTGCATTTCGGCTAGGAGAGGGGCTGCGGGCCCTGGGAGGCACGGAGCCAGTTGGGCTGCGAGGAAGCAGCAGGGGTTTTTGGCCATCATGAATGAATCCTCTGGACCGAGAGGACTGGCTACCAGCCACCGACTTGGTATTAAAGTAGCCTGGCGAGCACCGTCTGTGTATCAGTATTTCTTGACTTGTCCAGAGGGGTCTGATCCTGAGGGGGTGCCTGGGTTCCCCCTGTGTCAGGTGAGAGCAGCGGCCCCCGGGGGGCACTGAGCGCCCTGCCCCTCACGGGCCCTGCTGTGCCTTCACCTCACCCGTGCCCGCGGCCGCCCAGGGCAGCAGTGGGGCGGGCAGGGCCCCGGCCCCGCCTCTGAGGCAGGAATGGTTGCGCTGAGGCCTTGAGGCGTGCGGAGGCAGGAAGCAGCAGTGGGCCGGCTATAGCCCAGCGGTTCCTTCGGCTGCCTGTTGTCGTCTTTCGATTCCCTGCCTCGGTGGGGGTTCGAGTCCCGCGGGCACCCCTGGCCTACTTCTTGCTCAGGAATATTTGCCCGGCTTTCTCCACGTTTTCTTCCTGCTCGGGTTCTGCCCATTACATTTCATCCGCCTTCTTCCCTTTTATCGTCTTTTAACCTCGTCCTGTGCCCTGCTCATGTGCTACATACCGACTCTGCCTATGACAAGTGCACAACCAGGGGAAGATGTGACCGTAATCATTTTATTCACAGAATCATGGAATGACCGAGGTTGGAAGGGGCCTCTGAAGATCATCTGGTCCAACCCCCCTGCTGAGCAGGATCATTAATTCCCTCTGCTGAGTCTGTTTTGCCCGTGACAATAATCGTAGGGTGATCTTCCTGTTCTTATCTTAACCCTTAGGCCCTTCTCATCGTATCTTCTCTGCCTTTCCGTTTGAGGAGGGGGAGGGAGTGGTTGGGGTGGAGCTCAACTGCCCACCTGTGTTAAAGTACCACAGACAACTGACCCAAACTGCCCAAATGGATACCCCATACCATGGTGTCCTGGTTTGGGCTAGGATGGTTAGTTTTCCTCCTAGTAGCTGGGGGCTGACCTGCTGGAGAGCAGCTCTGGAGAGGGACATGGGGGTCCTGGTGGACAGCAGGCTGACCATGAGACAGCAGTGTGCCCTTGTGGCCAAGAAGGCCAACGGGATCCTGGGGTACATTTGGAAGAGTGTTGCCAGCAGGTCCAGGGAGGTGATCCTCCCCCTCTACTCAGCCCAAGTGAGGCCACACATGGAGCATTGTGCCCAGTTCTGGGCTCCCCAGTACAATAGGGACATAGAGCTAGTGCAGCAAGTCTGGACAATGGCTATGAAGATGATGAGGGGACTGGCGCACCTGTTGTATGAGGACAGGCTGGGAGAACTGGGCCTGTTTAGGCTGGAAAAGAGAAGACTGAGGGGAAGAGCTCATCACTGTATATAAATATCTGAAAGGAGGGTGTCAAGAGGACAGAGCCAGTCTCTTTTCAGTTGTGCCCAGTGACAGGAGGAAAAGCAATGGGCACAAACTTTGTTGGACTCCATTATCCTTATGGGTCCCTTCCAACTTGGGATAGTCTATGATTCTATGGAGCACAGGAATGGACGAAGTTAAAAGAGGATAAAAGGGAAGAAGGCAGATGAAATGTAGCTCACAGCCACTCTCCTAGTTGAAACATGGCCTCCTCAGCCAAGGGGGTGTCCCCTGTTTACCAAAGTGATACAACTCCCCAGCAGCTTGTTTCCAGCTCAAACCATGTGTTAGCACAGCAGCATTTGCCATTCCTCTGGATAGCAAGACAGCCTCACTGTGCTTTTACCGTTGCTTTTCCAGTGCCTCATGCTCCAGGCAACTGTTGCCAGGAGCTTCCTTCGGCAGGGCCTCAGGTGCATCCCTGCTACAGGCTGGCTACTGCGGCGCCCACCCTGCTCCAGAAGCACCTGGCAGACAGACCCAGCACCAGTGGCATCCTTGGCTCCCTCTAAGCCTTTTCTGCCACTGCAGAAAGACATTGTAAAGACAACTACAATTCATGATGCTGGCCCAGCTGACAGGAGCACTTTGAGCAGGGTCTGTGTCACCCCCAGTAGCCTACAGGCAGGTCCCCAATGTGCTATAAAATACCAGGGAAGTTGGAGTGAGATGAATCATCAGCACAGACTGCTAGGAAACAAAAAGGCACTGTGTTTTTTAATACATCTCATGTTCAAGTTAGTTAATAAAAAATGCTCAATACTTTTGCTCGGGAGTGGTGCGGGCAGCTCTGCCGCAGCCTTGAGGAGGCATGGCACAACCACCACGGCTGAGAGGATCTGCAGGACGGGGAAGGATCTGTTTGCCCACGGATCCCAGGACCCCTGCAGGAGAACTCACAGCCCTGTTCCACACAGGTGCTGCCCACCTCTGACTCACACTTCTCCCAGCACCATGGGCCCCCACCCTTTGGGGCAGTATCCTGCCTTGTCCCCCCACCCCAGGACCTCCACGTCCACCAGCAAACCCTGGCCTTGTCCACCTCCAAACCACAGCCCTCTTGGCCCCTCAGTCACTATCATCGCTGTCGCTTCCTGTCGCTGCCTCCCCTGTGGCCTCCTCCTCCTCTCGTAGGTCTGCAAAGAAGTCCTCTCCACTGCCTGGGGCTTTACTGGTCAGGGCCTTCAGCGGGCCCCCCCGCTTCTTCTTCTTTCGGTATTCGTCCACCACCATGGAGCCCAGGGAGGAGATGTCCCAGAACTTCACCTTCTGGTCATGGGCACAGCTGGCCAGGAGCTGCCCGTCCGGGGTCACAGCCAGCTGCTCAATGGGCTCTCCCAGGTGCTGCCCAACACAGCCCAGAACCCGGTTGGGCAAGATGTTCACTGCCCTAGGGACAAGGTGGATGGGGACATCACGGTGAGGACCTTTATAAGAGACAGAGCCCCAGGAAAATTGCAAGCCCAGCTCTCCATTTCAGATGTGATCCCTCCAGCACCAACAGAAACCTTTCCTCTCTCCTTCCCCAGGTCTAACCTCGTTCCCCACCCTCCCCAGAGCCTTCCCCCATCACATCCCGTGCCCTCAGTGCTCTGACCTGATGACTCCATCAAGGGACCCTGTGCACACAATGCTCTCCGTGATGGGGACCATGCAGTCAACCGACTCGGCCCTCAGAGCAAAGCGGTCACTGGTGGCCCCAAAGCCATTCCAGTTGAAGAGGTAGATGGTTCCTTCGCTACAGCCACAAGCCACTTTCTTTCCTCTCTGGGCAGGAAGGGGTAGAGCAAGGCAGAGGCAAAACAAGAGACCTAGAGCATGGCAAAGAAACCACCAGACAGTGCATCTGCTACGCAGCAGGGCCCAGCACCTACCTTCAGCAGCGCGACAGATGTCAGGTCCCCATTCTGTGGCTCAGAGAGCAGCTCAAAGCGTCGCCTCTTAATGTTGAAGACTCCCATGGTGCCATCACCGCTGTGAGAGACAGAGCGGCCTTGTGGCACGAGGTGCAGCCACCTGTGTCCCCTGCCATGATGGGCACGGGGCCTTGACCCCGGTGCCACCGAGCCCTGCAGTACCTGGCGGTGAGCAGGATCTTCTTGTTCCCATCCACGGCCATGGCACTGATATACTCCTCGTGCTGCCGGGATTCCAGGATGGCCTCCCCCTTGCGCAGGTCCCACACCTTGAGCTCTCCACCATCATCACCCGTGGCCAGGAGGTGTTGATCGATGGGCAGCACGCAGTTGAGGGCCGCACTGTGCGGAGCGGGCAGCGGTGTCAGGCGGCGTCCCTGGGGGACCTGGGGGGGGTCCGTGCCCGACCCCAGCGAGCCACGTACCTGTGGGCCTTGGCGATGCGCGTCTCCAGCCGCCCGTCCTCCACCGTCAGGATGTGGATGGCCTTGTCCTTGGACACCGTGAGGAGCCCTGGGGCTGGTGCTCAGCACGGGCACCCCGGCATCCCCTCCCCATCCCCATCCCCACCCCGTCCCCGTGCACTCACTCTGCCCATCAGGGGAGAAGGCGACGTCCCGGCAGGACTTGAGGTGGTGCCCCGAGGACCAGAGCTGTTGGGTGTCCCCCGGCAGGCAGGAGTAGCCGTACCTGCGGGCAGCGGGGGTCAGGAGGACCGAGGGGGAGGCGGTGGCGGGGAGCCCGGTGTGTGTGCGCGGCCACTCACAGGTACACGTCCCCGTCCACGTCCCCCGCCGCCAGCAGGGCCCGCGCCGGGTGCAGGGCGATGGCGTTGGCCGCCGCCTCCAGGCTGATGTCCTCGGGGGTGTCGCGGATCCGGGGGGCTGCGGGGGGCTCCTGGGGAGGGGGCGGCGCGGTGAGGACCCCCTCAGCCTCCCCCTTCCCGTTCCCCCTGCCCGTGCCCGGCCGCCCCCCCCTCACCTCCTCCTCCTCCGCCGCCGCCGCCATGCTGCTGCGGGAGCCTCGTGCGCGTGCCCGGCGCCCTGCCAAGCCTCGTTTACATAACTACGCCTCCCTTCAATTAAATAACGTCATCACCCGTTCATCACCCCTTCCCTCATTTGCATATCGTCGGTTCATTTGCGTGGCCCCCCCCCCCCGCCCGGCCCAGGCGCGCTGCACAATTCAACCTCCAGCCCAGTTCCACGCGCGTTTATTGAGCTGCCCCCCACACCGCGGGGGGGCCGAACTACAACGGGGTGGGGGGAACAGAGGGGCAGCAGCACCCCACGGGCTCTGGGACGCGGCATCCTGCAGGCTGGGGCTCCAGGAGGTGAAGGACGAGACGCAGGCATGCAGCTGGGGTGTCAGTACTTGGGCCTTTTCACCTCGACCCTGCGAAGAGACAACAGGCACCGTCCAGAGAGAGCACAACGCACGTCCTCGCCTCCCAGGTCTGCTCGGCACCCACCCAGGGCTCAGGGGAGAGATGCCCTGGAAGCCCTGCTGAGCTGAGCAGGGCAGGAGCACACTGCGGGGGCTGAATGTTCTCCCTTATCCATCCAACCCCACCACAAAGAGCTTGGTGGAGATGCCTCTGCACCCTGCAGCCCCAGGGAGAGGTGGCAGAAGACAGCCAGGCCCCAGCACAGCCCTGCTGCCAAGGCACCAGCAGAGGTGGCTTTACTAACCCATCGGCCTCCAGCTTCTTCCTCTTCTCGATGATCTGCAGAGAAAACACAAGTTCCTGTTACACTTCAGGTAAGCTGGCTGCCCAGAACTGCTCCTTGCCTCCACAAGGGCAAAGCAATCACAGGGACTGAGCCTCCCAGCCTGCAGCAGAAGGGTTGTAGGGTGTAAGATAAACCCTACATAAAGGGCTATGTGGAAGCTCTCCTAACCCAGGGATGTGCTGACAGATCACAGCCTGAACAAGCAACACCCCAGCACCAGACACTCACTGCACTGATCTTCTTCCACTGCCGGTCCAGCTCTGCCTTGTCATTTGTCTCCTTGAAACGCCGGGTTTTACGTCCCTCAGACATCTTGATCCCGTACTGGAAGGCTGCCCTGGGGAAGGAAGGAGACAGCTCAGTGCTTGGTGTGGATGGAACGGAAACGTCTGTTCCAATCACAAGCCT